CCCCCCCCCCCCCCACGGCGTGCCGTTTCTAATAGAGAGCAAACTAAAATTTCATCTTACCGACTGGCGATTTGGAGCTGATACAACCCATTTTCGCAGCCGCATGTGGACCCCCCCCAAAAAAATCTAGACCATTTTTTACTCCCCCGGTTCTCCTCCGCCTGCGTACCTCTCTGATCGGAAGCTTGGGTCGGTCTCTTCGCGCGCAAGGTGGTGGGGGGGGGTGCCGGTACGTGCTCAGAGCGCCAGATCGAAGCCCGGGGCAGGGGGGGACGTGGTCATCGCGTCTGGCCGCAGTGCGCGCGCGTCATGGGCGGCCGTGGGGGTCCCGCTGGTTCGGTTCAGCACCACGGCGGACGGACAGCTCCCTGCCCGCATGAGGTTCAGTTGACCGGTGGTGGTGGTGGTCGTGGGGGGGGGGGTGGTAGATCACTGCCTGTGGAATTCGAATCACCGACCCTGGTGATTTCTTTCTGTCCAGATAGAGAGCATTCTGGCTGGACACGTTGATGCACAAACCCCCTAAAAAAAAAAATCCCACGTTTAAGCGCTTATATACAGCCAGCATCAAGTTTCCTCCTCCTCACCGGTGTCCTTTTCTATGTAAGAGCGCAATGAGACGGGATTGGCTGGTGGGATCTTACTTTCTGGAGCTATTGGGGGACTGGGGGAGGAGTCAGAGGTGCAGAAGCAAGCTGTAAACCGATGATTTAAATGTGTTCGTCCTGTATCATTATCCCTGTTGACATGTGGGGCACACCTTTCGGTAGGACCTAGAACGACTGTAGGCACACGTTTCAATGCAGGAACTTTAAAAAAAAACTACATTTGTTCAAGAGGTGTTTTGCGTTTTTTTGGTTTCCATTATACGTCTTCCTTGTCAAAAGTTATCTAACAGCCGATCCCATTCCGAAAAAAGGCCACATTTTGTTTCCACAACAATGTGGTGCAAAGATTCCATAAATAAACGTAGGCTTTCACAAGCAGCCAGACATCTTTTTGCATTAAAAAATAATTATATAATCTTCTCAACGTTTGGAGTTCCCCAGCTTCAGCTCAAATTTGGATCTTAATGGAAATCGAATCACAGACAAGGATTAAAAAAGGACAAATAATTCATTCAGGGACTCAATAATGTGCAATAACAGAACTATGGGCAGTGAAAGAATATACAGAAGGGGAGAGAGTTGACCTAATTGTATTGTAAACCCAAACTTGCCTGGAGGCAGATTCGAGTTTAACCCACCACCATCCTCCCTCCCTCCCTCCCTCCCATCCTCGCTCTTCACGCCCACAAACTCTCTAAACATAGGCCCGTGGAGCTGCTGGTTGACTGGCCGCTCCTCCACTGCGTATTTCACCTCCTCTGGAATGATACTTCACGAGATGGGCCATTTCAATGTATCCCCCCAAAAATAGGACGATGCGGAGATTTCCGGATGCGGCTCATGCGTTTCTGGGGCTGGATTTTGGCAGAAGATGCGCGTAAAAGGACCCAAATGATATCAAAATGATATAAAAAACGGGCCGTATGGTGTAAATAAATAAAGACATGGAGCAAAACATCAGATTGCAGAAAAACAACAGCATTTAGTGGCAATTTTCGGCTTTACTCTGAGGAAGGTAGCAGTAAGGTTATTGCGCGCGGTGAGGTGAAGTGGTAGTGATGGATGATGACTCCAGGATAAAATAACTTTTTATTGCACTCTTTTCTCGATGCACCAAGGGTTATAGTGAAGCAGAGCTATATGTTCCAGTTAAAACTGTACTGTACTGTAATACAACCTAAAAATACGGTGCTCCCAAAGGAGAACTTTAATTGTGCGTACATTAGGTGGCACAGGCGCACTAACACGCACCAAAAACGTGTTTTTTTTAATGGAAAGGATGTTTGGAAAGCAGAAATGCAAGATAAATGTTTGAAAAGGAAAAAACTTCAAACACAAAAAGATGCTCCAAATTATGGAAGATTGGAAAATATTGAATGTGAAAGCCTCCGTCATCAGACGTGGGAGGACCCCCGTTAGTCACGCAGTTTGACATGTTTTTTTTTGTTTTTTCCCAAAACCTTTGAGATTTTTTTTTACAGATCTGCAATCTTCTGCGCCCACTCCTATCCTGCGGTGATGCGTTGTGTCATTCTCCAACGCGCGCGCCCCACATCTGGTGCTCCAGCACCACCTAAAGGACGGTTGGTGTTAAGGGCAGTAGAACGACCCCCCCCCCCCGTGGACAACTGTGAGCAACAACGCATGTGACTGGAAAATAGAAGCTATGGAGAATTGATGCTGATATGCAGAATAACCACACGCTTTTTTATGGGGGTCAGAAGTAAGAATGATCATTTCAAAGGACAAAAACAGATACTTTGATACATGATCTCCTTGATTGTCTGTTAATTTCTACACGTTTATGGTTCCATGCTTTCTC